CCCCAAAACCCCAAAACCCCAAAACCCCAAAACCCCAAAATATTAACAGAAGATTGATAATTTCTTACTATGGAAGAAGACAAGGAGAACAAGAGTCATTCCAGGAACCTGACTCGCAGTGGAATGTCGCTTCATTCGCATACTGCGAATGAGGTAGAGTCAAGAAAGTTAGGGCACAAGCCACATCTTTTTGAGCTTGACTCACAGCAACTAGAGTCTAGAGGAGGCACTTCTTTTGATTCCATTCATTTCACTGATAAAGAACTCGAGATTCAGAAGCTTAAGGAATTGGAACCTGAAGCATGGAGGAATATCCCAAAAGTTGTCAAAGAGGCCTTTAATATCATAATTACTAATCTTTGTTTCACAGAAACTGCAATGGTCAAAATTCAAGATCAAGTTCATACAAAAATCGACATGAGAATAAAATCTCAAGACCAAAAATTAAAAAAACTTACAAAAGAAATCACTGAGACTGAGACTAAGCTGGGGAATTTGATATATGATGTGAAGAAGGAAGTGGAGGAAGAGGTCAAGGACAATGCGAAGAACTTGGAGAAGATTAAGGTTAAGTATCAAAATAACACGGAGCTTCTAACTTCGAAAGTAAGCAGGATGGAAGAAGCTGATTCGTTAAAAGCATGGGTTGAAAGCCAAGACAAGAAGCTGAACATAAAACTGTCTGAAATAATTAATGAGAAGACAGACCAAATTCAGGCTCAGATGCAAGCAAAGATTGACCATCTTACATCAGAGCTTGCTATATCAAGGGAAAATAATAAAATTGAAGCTAATAAAGTTAACGAAACAACAGCTGAGATTGACCAAATGAAGAAGAATTTTGAGAAATTAGAAACACTTTATGAAAAGCAAGTTAAAAATAATACCCAGAAGTTTAAGGCTTTAGAAGAAACTACTAACGAAGAATTTCTCCAGAAGCTAATCCTTCTGGAAGAGTCCTTCAAAGAGGCTCAAGAAAAAGACAGTGAAGGCCTCAAGCTAGCTGAAAGACAGCTTCAATTCAGACTAGAATCATTCACTAAGGAACAAGGTATGAAGCTGAACGATCTGCAGGAGAAGATATTCCCAACTATAGAGAGTAAAATTAACAATCATGATAAAATACTGCAACAAACAGAGCATATTTCGAATAATCTTCAAAGTCTAATATCTGAAAGACTCAAAGAGGTTGAGGTCAAACTTCAAGAGCTTCAGACAGGTGCATCCTACACAGCTAGACATAACCAGAAGTTCGAACAGATCGACTCGAAATTCCAAGATCTTAATAGTGAAGTCAACCAAAAGATTGAGAGTGTAAACTCTGTTGTTGATAATGTTCGAAAAGAAGTCATCAAAATTGACCAGCAACGGAGGAGTACTGAAGAACAGAATCCTGCTTTTGTAGAAGGTCTCGCTGCTGGATCTAATAGATATCAAGGAGCATACGGAGCTCAAGATCCACATAGCACAAAGACAATTTCGCAGCTGAGAGATATGAAAAATTATCTTGAATACAATAAAGAGTATAATCAGAGCATTGAGCGTAAAAGAGTTGAGAGAAAATCAAAAGCAGAACTAGACAGTCTAGTAATAGTTAAAGAAAGAACAAAAATCAGAAATAAGAGCAGCAAGAGCGCTGAGAAGTACTCAAATCTCCCTCAAGTACATAAACTTAAGAACTTAAAACTCTTCAAGCGGAATGATATGAACCAAACAATGTTTAGCAATGCCAGTGTAAGGGCTAGAGATAGTCTTAAGGTCAAGAGAGGAGATATGACCCACAAAGGCAGAGCTTTAAGAAACTCTCTGAAAAAGATTACTCCTAAAAACCTAGCTTCTGCAGTAGAGTTCACCAGCTTGAAAGCTATTGAAAGAAATAATTATAACTAACCAAATAGCCGTTTTCAATGCTGAAATGAATTATGGGGTTTTGGGGTTTTGGGGTTTTGGGGTTTTGGGG